ATCTCTAATTCTAATTTTGAAATTTCTTATATGTATTAGTTTGCTGGGGCTGCTATAACAAAATACCACAGACAGGGAGGCGTAAACAATAGACATATTTTGTCGCTATTCTGGAGGCTGGTTGGCAGGCTTGGTTTCTTCTGAGGCTTTTTTACTTTGCTTGCAGATGGTTGCCTTCTTGTTTTGTCCTCAAATGGTCTTTCCTTTGTGTGTACTCATACCTGGTGTCTCTTTGTGTGTCCAAGTTTCCTCTTCTTATGAGGACGCTAGTCGGATTGGATTAGGGCCCACCCTAATGACTCCATTTTAATTTAATTATCTCTTTAAAGGCCCGATCTCCAAATCCAGTCACATTCTTAGGTACTAGGAGTTAGGGCTTCAGTGTATGAACTTGAGAGGGACAAAATTTAGCCCAAAACATCATAATAAATGTAAAGGTAAAACATAATATTTATAATTCAATATCTTAAAGAAAAACATAAAATCTATAACTTCAAAAGCTGAATTAAGAAAAGATAAGAATTATTTCTCGGCCTACATCTTCAAGTAAACTTGTCTCATATTCTCACATTTTAATGTTTACCTAAGCCTCCTCATTCAATGTGTATCCCTAGCAGAGATGTTAATATATTTCATTTTTCTTGTAGTGCCTTTCTGAGATTTTAGAGACTAAAGTACATCAAAAGGGAAACAATTTTGTGTGAGCAGCCAATTATGTCCAGGTATAAGAGTATTATCCCTTTTTCAAGAAAATATTCATCTAACAAATATTATTACTCATTTTCAAAATTATGCACAAACAGGGAAATCAACATGAGTTAGGAGACAACACAATTAGGAAAAGTTACAATTGGTTAATTATCCTCACCCAGTGCCCCATACACCCATTTTCACCTTAGTGGTGTTCACCACAGTGGAGCCACAGTGCTTTATTTTCCTGTCTTATGTGACATTTACATGAAACCATAGAGAAAATACCAGCCAGACTTTACATAAATCTGCAGATATAACACATTTCATAGAAGTCAGCATCAGATTCAAAGGAAGGGCCTGACAACCTGAAAGAATGAAGCCTGATAAGTTGATAAAATTTATCAAGGATAAATGTATGATTCCACACTAGAGTTTAAAACACTTTCTGGAAAAAATAAGAGAGGTATGGTTTTACAAGAACACACATTAAAATTTTGTTAAAAACTCTGATTGGTAATAAAGACACTGAGGGTCAATATGTGCTTACTGAAAGTTAATATATTATCAAGCTGCACCAACAGGATTATAACAACTCAAAAGAAACATGATGATCCTATTTCAATTAAGGCTGTTCTAGTTTCATCCTGAATATTTTGTTTCTAGGTGATACAATACTAGAATGATGAATATATTTAATACCATGTTGAATGAAGAATAGTGATAAAACTTGAAAATGTTAGTCAAGATAAAACAAAACTGAAGAAAGATATAATCTTGTCTTTAAATATGTGGAGGGCTGTCATTTGGAAAGGCTTTAGGCCTATCCTCCATGGCCCCAAGCAGTAAGAACTAAGCAGGTCTGGCCAAATTCTCTTCATCCTTCAGGAAATATCACTTCTTCAGGGAGGCCCTCCCTAGTCTACAGACTGTGGGTCCCAGCCACTGGCTTCTGCAGTTTTCATTCTTCTCTGTTGGGCACCAATCCTATTTCTGTTTGTCAAATTATGTTAGTCTATATCTTAGTCCATTTGGGTTGCTATCACAAAATACCATAAACTGGATGGCTTATAAATAACAGAAATTTATTTCTCACAGTTCCAGACACTAGGAAATCCAAGATCAAGGCACTAGCAGAATCAGAATCTGGTGAGGGCTCGCTTCCTGGTTCATAGATGGGTGTCTTCTCACTCTAACCTCATGTGGTGGAAGGGCTGAGGGGCCTCTTTTGGGCCTCCTTTATAAATACACTAATCCCAATCACAAAGGCTCGGCCTGGCGCGGTGGCTCATGCCTGTAATCCTAGCACTCTGGGAGGCCAAGGCGGGAGGATTGCTCGAGGTCAGGAGTTCGAAACCAATCACAAAGGCTCTGCTCTTATAACTGAATCACTCCCTGAAAGGTCCCACCACCTAATACCCTCATCTCAGGGGTTAGAATTTCAACATATGAATTATGACAGGACACAAACAGCCGATAGCATCCTGCTAGATTGCAAGTTCCCAGAGAGGACAGAGCTCATCTGATTTGTTAGTCCTAGAACACTCATACCTAGCACAGTTGAATAAACTAAAAACACATGAGAAATAGATTTGGATTTAACATGAAGACGTATTTTTTAATAGAGTTGTGCAGAGATACAAAGGCTGCCTAAAGAGGTAGCAATTGTCCTTTCATGGGAGGCCCTCATTCAGGCTTGAAAAGGCAGTGAGGTAGAGGAGATTAAAGGTGACTGGACTAAATGATTTTTAGCCTCCTTGCCAACTGAGCAACTATGATGTGAATTCTGCTGGGAAAGGTTAGGCTTATTTCACCATATATTTTGTTTTATCACATCAGCTCAGTTCTGAAACATTTTGAAAAAGTTTAGTAATAAATTTCTAATTATTGTTTCTGTTGAAAACCAAATATTATTTGATGTTTTTCCCCACATTTTCTTTCTCCTTCTCTCCCTGTTCCCCAAAGATGATGATTAGTATTTCCATTTTACTGTAAGGAACACAAAACTTCAGAAAACAAAGTAGCAAGCAGACAGTGAGGTAAGGTCAGACTCACCACAGGAAAAATATTTCTAGATTCTTAGCATCGATTGTGCCAAAAGTAAATACAGATTTGATAAATGACACAAAGTCATTAATTCTCCACTTCTGCTGATTCAATTTTTATAAGGGCCCAATTTTCATAAAAACACATCAGATTTTTAGCAAATATAAAGATTGCATCTTTTATTTATAAGGCAAAAAAATCTACCCAAACACTTTTCACTAAAATTGTGTGCCCTGAAATACTGGCTTTCAGAGTATTAGTAAAGTATTACCTAACTTTAGTTATTCCTGTGGGAATTAATCAGTAAAGATCTTAAAGGTCAGGGTCCTTAGAAGTTACTGAGATATCAGTTCTGACCTTGATTACTTGATTTAGTTTGAAGTCTGGGATGAAGTTGCTAGATTTATGAACAAATACACAACATGCTTGCTATCCTTCCTTCATCCTCTGCCTTCCTTTTTAGGAACATCTTTTGTGAGCCTAAATCAATTCACAGGACAATGATGGAATTAGGAAAACAATATGTTCTTAACCAGTAATAATAAAAATAACTACATAACATTTATTTTGAACTCTATAATAGAGTTCACAATGTAACATCCATTGTGAAGGTAGCTAGGTAGCTAGGACAGAGGAATTATGTAAAGTGGGAGGGGAGGCACTGGCATTTGATATTCTAGAGTTGAGAGTATAATTGTTGGGCGGGAGCCCACACACCAGGCAAAGGAGCTTAGGGAAAGCTCCACCCACAAATAGGAATGAAATGGCTCTCCTAAATGTGGGCTGGATGGAGGTAATTTCTATGACTTTTAAACTTAATGCCTCCCTCTTTCTTAGGACTTAATTCCTTGTTCTAAGAATGAGCAAGAGAAGGAAAAGATTACAGAGAAGATATGAGAAGAATGGTAACTTTCACAACTTTCAAATGCTTGACATCTTCATTTTGTATTATGTCATGCTAGGATTTAAGACCAAGGAGTAGCCATTTGATTTATACTGTACTATGTTTATATTTATGTTTATATTTATAGCTTTCTATGTTTTCTACAAACATGCAAACCCTGCCAAATAATGTAATCATAACAAAACCTGTGAAAAAAGTATGCCCATCCTAAGCAAATTACATGGGTATATACCCTTCAGAGGAGGGCTTCTCAAACTCGAATGTATATATAATAATCACCTGGAGGTCTTGTGAAATGCAGATTTTAGTTCAATAGGTCTCAGGTGGGCTCTGAGAGCCTGCATTTCTAACAAGCTCCAGGTGATGCCTATGCTACTGGTCCACAGGCCACATTCCACCATGATGTGGAAATCCAGTTTTGGCAGGAAATCTGTCCCCTCAACTTCATTCCTCCATTTATTTTTTTCCCCTGAGTTCCTAGACTTTCCCCTGTTTCACTGGTGAGAAAATCTTAGGTCCAAGCAGGATGAGCACAAAAGAAAAGAAAATATTCTAAAATTACAACGTCAAGTGGAGCAATAAGATTTTAACTTGTCTCAAGGGTAAAGACATATTTTTTGATACGCATGAATTATACATACTTCATGCAAATCATTGAACAAATACATGGTAGCCTGTCTATTTCTTTTCACAAATGAAGCCCTATGTCTGCATAACTTAAGAAAAAGTTTATTTAATTAATGCATGGCACACCATCTCATCGTTAAGGTACCTCTAGGAGTGAGGTGATTTGAATAAGTCAAATTTTATAGATAACTGAAGTTTATCTTTTTAAGTTTATAAGCATTTATTTCAGTGATTTTTAATTGAAATCTTTCTGGAAATAATATACTCAAGAATTGTGAAATATACCAAATAAAGCTTATCGTATCTACTGTTACCCAAGGTCAACAGTTATTATTCCATGGTATGATATAAGGGTGCTATAAAAGCTACTAGTGTCTAGCTAAGACTATGTGCTTTTACTCAATGGAGTGTCAGTGTCCGTCCTTTGAGGATTTTTCAGTCTATTTGTAGCAATCTTCTGCTTCCTTCCTCCATGGTCAGCTGCCACTTCACACTGCTCCCTGACTGCCCTCTCCTTAAAATTTCTAATCTGCTGCTTTATTTTTCATATGATTTTCTAGGAAATATGCTGAAACTGGCATCTTTCTCACTTCTGTTATGTTTTTAAAACAGGATCTCCTTTTCCGGATTTGGGGTACTTGTTACCTAAATCAATGTCATCATTTCAGCTTAAAGAAACCACACAAGTTGATCCTTTTGTAAGTATCTCTCACTATGAGTACTGAATACTCACTGATCCCGGTGTCCTTGCAGTACTGGACCAAGTACTGTCCCATGACTTTCAGTAGATGATTATATTCTTGGACATTGAGAAATTCCTGTTTATTATGGGATGGTTCCATGATCTCCAAGGGTATATTAACAATTCCAACCACGCCTGCACCAAGTCTGAGGGAATAAATGCATATACAAATTTTGTAAAATTTGGCTACAGAATAAAAAATCAAATATATTCTGGTCATTTGAAATCAATTTTTCAAAAATAAATTCATTTACTTGGTCTGGACCATGTCAAAATTTAATTAGGTATCCAATTTTGTTATCATCAATCTATGGTAATCCCAAGTGTCTTTGGTCCCACAATATAAAATCACTTGAGCACATTATTTCTGAATATGATTGCTTTTTCCAAACCTATCACCTTACATGGGGAGTCAGGGTAGGTGGGATGGAGAGGCCTTGTAGCATTAAACACCAGTAATGGTGCCTTCCTGCAATAAATTGGCATAATCCTTTAAATGATACTGGCCAGAGAGTCTCCTTCTTTTTCCTCATTTCATCTTTCAGGTTGGATTTCTCCTCATATTGCAGAGGACCACGAGGTGCTCCATGAATTCTACTAAGGGAACATAAGGGTTGGGTTATCCCAGAGGGTAACAGGTATCTGACCCTATTTTTTTCCTCACTTTCTTAGTAGCATGTGATGTACATAGCTGGGATATTCTGTTTGGTGACATAACCTGTTTTGGAAAAGAGTATCCAGTTGTCTAAGACTTCAGGGCTCCCCACTGCCCTTTTCATGGCACACATGTCAAGCCTTCTCAATTTGGGGCCCCTGCCTGTCATGTTTTTCACCACTTTCCTCTTCCAACCTGATTTCCTTTCATTATTCATTCTGTAAGTCTAAATTTGGGCACCACTTCTTCCAGGAAGCCTGACTTGACTTCCCCAGTTTGGTTTACTGCCCCTTCTAACTGCTCTTTTTGCATCTGATGCTCACCTCTGACATAGTATTCATTCATTCATTCATTCATTCATTCATTCAAGCTCAGCACTTGGCCCCTGTTCCAGAAACTAGGAATACAGTGATAAACCAGAAAGACAAGGTCCCTGGTTTTGAAGTTTCTCTTGTGCTAAAGGGTGACAGTCATGAAGCTAAAAAACAGGTAAATGTACAAGCCCATTTCAGATGATCAGTGGTATAAGGAACAAAACACAGGTGCTGTAATACATAAAGAGTGACAGGTGGATAGGGTAAAGGCAGGGGCCAATTTTAATTAGACAGTCAGGGAAGACTTTCCTATGGAGAGGACTTTAGGCTCATGGCTGAGTGGCATGCTAGGGCCAGTAGTTGGAAGATCTGAGGACAGAATGTTCAAGGCTGAGGGAATTCTAAGTGCCAAATCCTTAACACAGGAATGAGGTTAGGTCTGAGGAACAGGAAATGCAGAAAGGATAGGATGTGAGTAGGGACATGGAAGTCCCAGAGCCAGGCAGAGGCCAGATCTAAGACCATGGTAAGTAGTTCTATTCTAAATGCACTGAGGTTTTAAGCAAGAAAGTCAACTAACTTAGGTTTTAAAACATCATTTTTGCTGTTTCCCCACAGCATAAAAAAATGTGCATTTATATGTTTGTCCCTTTCACTAGGCTATAAGTTCCTTAGCCAAAGGTAGTAGGTCTTAACCATTTTGTCTGCAGAGCTTTGTACGGTGCCTGGCACACTGGCACATGATACTGCAATATAAGTGCTTATTGAATGAACAATGAATGAATTGCTAATTCCTTGAGATTGAGGAAGCAAGATGATAAATGCTCCCCTGACCCATTCTACTGGTCAGTTATCTTGTCTGACTGTCCTTTCTGTTTGTCCCTTCAGGGTTCCACATAATTGATGAAAGCAGCGTGTAGAATTTCAGAACATTGGGAAAGGACCAGAATGTATTACTCTAGAATCCAAATAGGCTGGAGAGTTTTAATAATATATGCTTATGCAGGTAACTGGCAAGAGCTCATACATATAGGGGCTGCACAAAACATTAACTGGATTGCTTTACAAGGCTATAGATTTTTCTTTTCTAAAATTTTAAAAGTATGATTGAATCATTTTTTTAATTTCAGCATATTATAGGGGTACAAATTTTAAGGTTTCAAATAATGCCCTTGCCCCCCCTCAATAGATGGTACAAGAAATGGTAAAACATCAAGTTGCTTAAGGAATGCATTGAAAAAATTTCGCAAAGTGTGATTTTTCCTTAGAGCATGCATGCAGGTTCACTGATATTATAAATTAGGCAGATTACTGCCTGTGCATTGACAGGGAGAGTGAACAGAAAATATGACACCTGCTCCCATCATGATTAATCCCTCATCTCACTCCACAAACAGAATCTCACTGCAACCTCCCTCTCCCTGCTTGTGCATCTGAAAACAAAAACATACTTACAAGGACTTCAGTTTCAACTGTGGGCCCACTTTCTCATGCATTTTGATCAAACGGTTATTACTGTAAATGAACATTCCAGCTTGGCTTCGGTTTTCTATGTTCACCCCAAAGAATAGGGTGAGTGTTCTTGCTTTTTTTAATTCTCTAGAATTATATTTAGAAAAGTTTTTGAAAAAGTGTTTTTATTAAATAAAAATATAATTTACACAACTGCTAATAATTAAACTCAGAAGGTAAACATCAAAGGAATGTATAAAAAATCCAGATATTTTACAAAAACCTTGTAGGTTATACTCAGTATCTCTGTATAGTAAGTATTTTGTATAAATATGATGCCAATACCTATCCCAGTCAAACACACACATTCTTTGACTCAAAAACATGTCTGCCAATTTAAATTTATAAGAACTAGAAAATGCCAAATGGGTTCTGAAATGTTAACTGCTCTAACATGTACATTACAGCATTCACAGAATGAAAAAATGATGAGTTGGCTATTTAAAATTTTAGGTAGTTCCAAGAATGGATGTGATATGTAACCTTCTGCATGTTCGCAAGTCACCAAATACCCTACATAGATTGGAATGCGCCAGAAGATATTCTTGGGCTTTCTCTCTAACCTTTTCCAGAATAAAAGGTAAATAAAAGTTAATAAAGCAAGTTTACGAGGGCAACAGATATGAGTTCCTGTTTTCTGACTCTGACCTTCTATATTATGTTTTCTATTAGAATTATAAAAATAGAAATTGAGAAGCAGCAGACTATGATAGAAACAACTGTGGTAACAGGAAGCTGTGGGGAGCTATGAAAGTGCCTGGATGTGAGAGGCAGACCTGGCTTCAAACACAAGTTCTCTTTGTAACAACCATGTGACCATGGATGAGGCTCTTAAACTTCTGTCTCGTCTGAAAAATAGGAATGATACCTACCTAGCCACTTGGGATGTAGTGAAAACTAAAAGACATGATGTTAAATATAAACCTGGAACAGATTAGGTGCATAACAAATGTTATTTTTCCTTTCCCAACCAAAAATGGCACTAAATAAAATTCTTCCCTTAACTCACCCTGTAGCTCCCCTCCCTTCACAAAAATGGCCTTTTCTTTAGAGATTCATGACCCTGTGCTATTACAATTGATGTAAGATACTTATTGAACTGATTAAATGCACCTGTCATTAAAGTACAATAATAAAGTTCTATCGGTCCTTCTATGTGACTATGATATACACAGTACATAAGACTTTCTCAGGAAGTTCTTGACATGGGCTAATGTATTATGTATTTGTTAAATGCATGTATATCTAAGGTTAAACATATATCAATCAAACTTTTCTAAAAAGTCACTGTAACTTAATAATGAGATCCCAACATTTCAACAAAAAAGAGGACTGTTTTAGGTATCCCTAAACAGGGTATTACAGGATATAACATAGACACCCTGCAATATTAAGTGGTATGTTGATTGTCTTCAAATTTTTTAAAAACAAAATTTTACTATAAAGCCAAGTTCATGGCAACTGGCATTATGACTAATAAAATACAGATTGGTCATTTTTCATACATTTCACTATATGAACTGTTTCATACAGTGAGGTTGTTTCAATAAGGTTTTTCTTTTTTCTTTAGACCTTTCTAAAGTCTTGAGAGAGGACTTGGATTTTTAATTAAAATTTCTATGACATTTATTTAAAATATTCTTATAAATATACAAATAACATTTCAAATTTTACTTATTTTGGTAAGTGCATAATTAACATTTCAAATTTAAGTTTTGAGGAATGTTATATTTATATGTCAATGCATAATTCACCAAAAAATAATGTTGAAAACTCATCATACTTCCCTAAAAAATAATTCCTCAAAAATACTGCAGTTTTTAAAGTATAACCTTACTTGGATAGCAGTGATTATTTTCAGTTTAACTTGTTTAGCACCTGAGTTAGAAAGCAAGTCAACCTTATAAATAAAAATTCATTCATGTGCTACATAATTTCATTTTGGTCAATGACAGACCACATATATGATGGTGGTCCCATAGGATTATAATACCATATTTTTACACCTTTTCTATGTTGAGATATGTCTAGTACACAAATACCATTGTGCTACAAATGACTACAGTATTCAGTCCAGTAACATTCTTTACAGATTTGTAGCTAGGAGTAACAGGCTGTACCATATAGCCTAGGTACGTGGTAGGCTATACCATCTAGGTTTGTGTAAGTATGTGGTGACAATATAGCCTAATGACACATTTTTCAGAATGTATCCCATCATTAAGCAACATGACTTTATTTTTAATAGAGCCTAGCTAGCTATTTTTAACTATATATAAGTGATATAATTACTAACATTATTTCCTATTTGAAATTTTAAGCTATTTGACAATAAAGAAAGTAGGGCTAACCCTCCAGAATTTAAATGGCAAAGGACACAGAGGAAGAGTAAGTTGTCAGCCTGATCCCCTTGGAAGTTCTCTTCTTCATCAGCCCAAACAACCAAATGCTGAACGAATTTTTAACTTCTTTTAAGAAGTTTTAACATTATGCAGACACATACATGTACATGTAAATACATACTTTACAAATATTTTACATTGTTTATCTTGGTTGGGGCACCTTGACCATATTAAGATTCATACTGAAATATGTCACAAGTTGAAAAAGAGAAATTGTCACAATAACTACCAAATCTGCCTACTTAGAAATCAGAATTTGCTTTAAAGTAGCACAGAGAATTCTTGCAAACACAAAACATTATGCCTTACCTCCGCTTCTCTTTAAGGTTCTTATGCTTTGCTTCTACATCTTCCAAAGCTTTCTGTAATACACCCTGGAGAAGTACATTTGGTTGGAAGAGAACATAATGCCATTGAATTAATAAAAGACAAGCTGATATTATCCTATTATCCAAATATGTCAAAGGAAACAATTATAGCTCACATTGCCTAATGTAATTCTAGCATGGTAAATAATCAATACTTGATAAATGATTAAATTCCAGTACCTAAGAAGATAAATCAAATCCTAGCCCACTGTTCTCTTTGTGTACATATTCAGATGTCCTCTCTGCCTTTTAGAGAAAGATCCTTTACTCCCCAAAATGGCACAGTGGCTTTGACACAAACTACATGAACATTTTGCTGCATCATTCAATGTACCTAAGCTCTGGCTTTTATCTGTGAGAACAAGAAATTCTCAATTATGTTATCACTAAGAATTCTTTCAGGAAAAAAAAAAGATAATTAGAAAATTTTGTTAGTAGCCCAAAGAAAATGTCTCCTCCATATCAAATTTGGGTTACTTCTAATACTTTTCAAACTTTCCCTTTATGGGATACCCATCCCTAGGCTTTTTCCCTTCCAGAGTGCTCTTATGCCAATGCCCACATGTCTTTCTTATCTACTCTATTAATTTGCTATATTGATTCATTCACTACCCTATTCTAATGATAACAGGAATCATTCATTATTATTGTTCTCATACACATGAGATTAGACTTGTGATGTGCTTCATCCAACTGATGTGAGAAGTAGGCTTCTCTTTTGATGAGTATATCACTGACGGAATAATATTTTCATTGGCTTTCAAGTAAAAGAAAATGGAAAATTAGTTGGCAAGTATTTCATTTTAAATTCAATTGCCTGGAAGAATTTAAAAGGTGAAAAGTTCAGGCTATTCTACTTTGCTTTCTTCTCTGCCTTAAAGAATCCAGAGTGCACTGTGTCAAAGCAACAAAGCAAACTGGTCAAAGACATCCCCACCCTGCCTGACAGTGCACAGAGCACAGTGGCGGGGAGAAGTAATAGGCAAGGGCAAGAAGGAAAAGCAAGGTCCTGACCCATTGGAAAGAGTCTGGTTCTCTTGACTTACAAACACATAAAGCAAAGGGAATTGATTTCTTAGAAATAAAATTAAATAGCTTAAACTATAAAAAATCAATAACCAATATGATAAGTTTGCCTTTAACTTGAAAAAAAATAAATGAAAAAAAGTAAGAGAATTTGAGGAAATCCATGGATAGATTTAGCTTTGGGGCATGACCACTTGCTACTCTTTGATTTAATACCTTACTCATGACCCTTAGATATGAGAGTTCTTTATTAGACAGAGACTTGGTCCTGGAAATTTTAAGGGCAAATCACTGCAAGAATTCATATATTTAGTCTGTAAAACAGGATGAATAAAATGTGAAATAAAGCATTTCTTTCTCCATATTCTTATTTATACCTTTGTATATAAGTAAGCAAATAACTATGTTGCTTAATGATTCACCATGGTAGAAAGTTTTATACCATATTTCTGGTCAAAGTTAGCAAACTTACAGTATGTATCCTGCAGCAATATTCTTTTAGCTGCAATGCATTATAATTAATAATAATAGTTCTTTATAACTTATCCCACTTGTGGGCATAGTGCAAGGATTACAAAGAATGTTTATGAACTGAGTGGAGCAACTCATTGGAAAAGAGCTTTGTAAGCTGGAAGCATTGTTATTAATATTCATAATTATAGTACATAATTCCTAGCACTAGAAAGAAGGATTGCTTATTAGTCCTCTCCTTGCTTTCCCCATTTATTTGAGTCCATAGGGAGCTATAATTTGAATAGATATTTTCAAGGAGACTTGATAGGCTAGTTTTTTTCTGCCAGCTTTTTTATCATTTTTTCCTTTTCTCATCTTACTGTTCTTTTCATTTTAAAGAAGTGGGTTGTGATACTCTTCCCTATGGTTCCAAATTCACCCCATGTTCTGTTCATCTTTGTTCTCAGTCTCAGCTTTCCCCCAACTTGCTGGATTTCCTCTCTTTTCTCTGCAGTCATCTATTCTGTTTACCTGTGTTAAAAATCAACTTAATCTTCTGAGCTCATCTGTGTATAAAAGTTTGGGAAGTAAATGATAATAGACAACTATGCACAGGAAAAAGCAAATGACACTATTTGCCATTTAAGAAGACTACTCTTTACACATCGCACCTCGGCAGAAGACAAAGAGGTTCTGTCAGACTGGTTTACTTCAATTTGTGCTTCTTTCAACATGAGTTCAGCTGGAAGCAGAAGCAAGACAGTTATCATACAGTGAAATTCTTTCAAGCAATTTAAATGAGCGTTTTCCATACATTTAGCCATGACCAGTGAGAACAGGATACAGACTATAATCTCAGAAGACCCTACATTCCTTTCATAGTTTTTATGAATTTTAAGTCTTCTTTATATTGAGCTTCCACTTAGGCATGACAGGGCATAATATACACATATAAATTCAAAATTTATATGGGCATAAATATACACATATAAATTCAAAAGTCATGAGCAAAACTTTGGCTGACAGAAAATGCTTTAAAATCTACAAAATATGGATGTAGAGCTACTCTCCACTGCCAGATGCTTGGAGGGGGTAGCTTTGTCCCTGCAACGGGAGGAGTGAATATGTAGAATATCATTCTTAAAGTGGATGCAATGCTGATCTCCAAAATGACCTAACATAGCATCATGACAATCAGGGTTTCTAATGTATCAGTCTAGTTCCAAGTGTGTTCAGGATCATGCTTATAATAATAAATAATATCATAATTGAACAAACTCTGAAATGGAAAGAAAGTATCATGAAGTTCCTTAGAGGTAGGTACATGTGAGTAATTGTAGCTCCTACAACGCCCGGAGCAGTGTATGTCTCAGAGTAAGTGCACATTAAAAAAAAAAAAAGAATAAGTACACAATTAACATTTACTGAATGAATGAATAACAATAATGCAGGCTTAGGTAATCACATACCAATCTTTACTGCTTCTTCTGCCTTTTTAACTTCATTTTTAAATGCTCCTTTAAAAGAAGATGTGACATACAGATACTTTCTGTAAAGAAAAAAGAAGGAAAAACAGAATTAAGTCAGATTATCATTTTAAAGTATATAGTAAGAAAATATACTTTAGTAAAACTATATACTCTGGAGATACATAATTATTGAGAGATTCATTGAATAAGTTTTATCTAGCTGGTACTATTAGCAAACTTTATACCTAAGAAGAAACTCCTTTTCTTTTAATCCTTGGAAATTTTATTCTTGTAAGGGAACTTCAAGAGGGATGTAAGAAAATCTCTGTCTACACAAATGTTCACTTATATATACAAAATAGGATAGTTTTCTTAAAAAGAAAAATTTTCATGAAATTGCTCCATTATCAAAGTTTCTAGTTAATATGCACAGTTCTCTTACTCAGATCATCACTGACACTGGATAAACTGCTTCTCCCAGTCACCAAACAATTATCTCTAACTGAAATGCTCAGAAACACACATTAATATATCATTTTAAATTGCTAAAAGCTCATTTTCTACTTTATTGATCAAGAGGCCTATTTTCAAGGTCCATTGTTTTAGTGACAGCCAAGATGCTCTAGAACAATGAAGGAAAAAACTTATGTATGTATATATCCAGAAATTCAAAGAAGACAAAGCATAGATGATAAAAGCTCTGTAGAACAGAGATTCCCTGAATGAAGTTGAAACTATGTGCATCTGTTATAGGAGATTCTGGGAACCCAGCTTTTAAATATTGGTTTAAATCATCATAGAGAGAAACATTCCAGAATTACATTGGGTCTAAAAATGTTCAAAACTCTGGAAATCAATACAAAAAGAGTTAAATAGATTTTATACATTTAACAATGACAAAGATCTCTAAGATATAACTGTAAGTGAAAAACAAGTTATACATAATTTTGTGCTTTAAAAGAACTGTGTTTGTGTGTGCATACATGCATGTATGTGTAACTGTGTGGAAAACAATCTGGAAGAATATTTATTAAACTTCTAGCAGAGGTTCTCCTTTGGGGGAGATTATGGATTGCTAGACCACAGAATGAATGATAAGTGGACAAGGGAGCTTTCTGTAATTTGATTTTTTTGCCCCATATCTAATTCTGTATTGTTTAAATTTTTATTAATTTTACCATTTTATGAGCAAAACAGAACCCCTCTCCCACAAGAGAAACAAAAATATTAAGAAATACTGAGTAATATTGGGTTGCAGAAGTATAGATTATAACATGCTACAGCATTTTGAGTGACTGATTTGTCAGAACAACTTGCAGAAATTTAAACTTTTATTGATATTTAACTCTCACACTTGGCAACATTTGCCCAAAACACTTTGGCCAATATCAAATATTATATTTTAAAATTTAAGTTGAAAAAAACAGACTATAAGTAAAGAAAACTACAGTTCTGAACTTTTATTAATGCAAAAAAAATTAGCCCATATTTATAAATTACTACTACCTTGTAGTATTCAATCATAATTATTTTATTTTTTAAATTATGAGAGTTTACTTGGTTTAGTTACATTGTAAAACAATTATAACCCTTGGTCATTCCTTACAACATGTAATAAGGGGTGGGATCAAACATTTCCTGGATTGTGTAATGTTGACAGCTAGACCTGGACCTCTAAAATTTAGTAAATCGAGAATGAAAATAATTCCATCCACCATTACTCCTACCCCTATACCTGCACCTCCCTTATCCCCAAGCACTTGTTCATGTAAAAAACTCAGAAGGCCTTCCAGACTCCTCCTTTTCTCTCCACCCTGCATCCAATCCATCAGCAAGTCTTGCTGGCTCTATCTCCACAACAAATCTGTAATTCAGACATTTTTTTTAGCACTTCCACCATTACCACCTGACCTCAAGCCATGATAATTTCTCCCCTAGAATAATAAAGAAATGGTATTTATCCTGCCTAATCATTCCTCCTCCCTCTTGTCCCATGAAGTCAATTTTCCACTCAACAGCCACAGTCATCTTTTAAAATCAAGTGATGCCACTCCTCTTCTCAAAAATCATTCCATTCTCAACACAGCCACCTCTTGTCATATTGCTCCAGGCCTTCCCAGATCCAGCCTATCCTTTTCATCTCTTCCCACTCACAGGGCTCTAGCTAGACTAGTCTTTGACTCCTGCCTTTGTACTTACTATCCTCTCTTCCTGGAACCACCTTCTCACAAAATTCTTGCATGAGTCACTATGCTACCCACCCTCCAAGATGTCCCCTCATGGTTTTTGCCTCCTGGTATTCATGCCTTTGTGTAGTGCCCTCTCACAATGAATCTAGTCTGACCTGTGTGACCAACAGAATATGACAGAGGTGATGGTGACTGACTTGAGGCTGGATGCTAAAAGTTGTCAGTTTCCACTTGGTTCTCCTGAATTGCTCACTCTGGTGGAAGTCAGCCCCTGTGCCATGAAAATACTCAAGCAGACCTTATACAATGGCCCCTGTAAAGAGGAACCAACTCACTAGCCATGTAAGTCACCTTGGAAGTGGGTCTTTTAGCTCCAGTCAAACCATCAGAAACTCTAACCCAAATCTCTTAGCCACTTTATGAAAGACCCGCCAAGCCAAAAACAGTCAATAGAGTAACTCTCAAATTACTTATCCTCAGAAACTGAGTGATGATAAATGGTTACTTTCACTATTAAACCACTGAATACTGGGGTGATCTGCTATGCAGAGATAAATAACTAATATATTCATTCTTTCAATTTATTCAGCTCACTGCACAAAAGTTACTTCCTTGATTTCCTAACTAAAATAGGCTTCCAACCCTCCCATAATTCCTTATTCTTTGCCTTACTTTATTTTCTTCATAGCAGTTAGAATTACCTGATATTTTATCATCCATTTTTATTTACATATTGTCTTCCCTTCCCCACTAGAATATAAGCTCCATAAGGGCAGAAGTTTTCTGTGTTGCTTGTGCTGGATGTTTAATGCCTACAAGAATGTCTTGTACATGGTGACCATTCCGTCCATTTACTATTATTCTTCATTTGTATAATAATAACTGTACTTGATTTGTGAACATTTTGGGAACATTGCTGAGTGTTTTTACAGTTAAAATAAAACACTGTTTTATTTTAATCCTCAAACACCCCTAAGTTCCGGAGGAATTCCCAATTCTCAGTGGAAATCAAGGCTCAAGTAATTGCCAAAGATCTACAACTGGTAAATGACAAAATCAAAACTCAATTCCAGGTTTGGATAATCTAAATTTTGCTTCCAATCACTAAATATTAAATAATTTAAGATTATTTAAAAACTCAATACATACATAAGATGCACAGTATACAAAGGAGTCACTTTATAAAAATTATTAGTCTGGTAAGTAGGTGGGTGTGAGGGTGTGGGAAGCAGCCCTAAAAAATAAAGACTGTCTTAGAAGCACAGTGTTTCAGAGCATTCAACAAGAGAACAGAGTTAATGTCCCTGAATAACTTTAAAAGGACCATGCAGTTCCTATGAAAGCAGGTGACTCCAATTTCAACTCCTTTGGGCTCCTTTCAGCATTATGGGTCTAGATTAGGGGTCCTCAAACTTTTTAAACAGGGGGCCAGTTCACTGTCCCTCAGACCGTTGGAGGGCCAGACTAGTTTTAAAAAAACTATGAACAAATTCCTATGCACACTGCACATATCTTATTTTGAAGTAAAAAAACAAACAGGCAAAAACACCCACATGTGGCCTGCGGGCCGTAGTTTGAGAATGCCTGGTCTATAGTAAAGCAATGTTAATGAAGAATGGAGTTTTTCAAACAGATGCTTTGGTTCTGACTCCCTTAAAGCAGTGGTCCTCAACCTTTTTGGCACCAGGGCCTGGTTTCATGGAAGACAATTTTTCCATGGACCAGGGTGGGGTGGAGGATGGTTTCGAGATGATTCTAGTGCACTACATGTATTGTACACTTTATATCTATTATTACTACACTGTAAAACATAATGAAATAATTATATAACTCACCATCATGCAGGGAGCCCTGAGGGTACAACTAGACCATGTCACCTGAGGGTGATGGGAGACAGTGACACCGAAAGTGTGTTGCTTATGTCTAGTCTATTCTGTAATCTCATTTTGGTTGTTGTCACTGCAGAAAACCCTGCTTCACAAAGATAGGATGTTAGAAATGGAAGCAGACTTTTCAGTGCTTTTGTGGCAATCCTAGGACATTCAACCTTGGCTTTAATCCAGACGTATGGAGATTTGAAGTAGTCTTAAACATACTTTTAAGGCCACCACCATTTGCAATCTTAAGCAGTTGATCTTCTTCTAGCATGGACAAAATCAATTCACCTGCTTAGTCACAAATGGGTCACTGATCCATTCCTTCCCAGTATGGGGCTCTTTTGTGGTTGGAAAGTAATGCTCAAACTCTTATAAAAGCTGAGATAGGTGATCATGCACCAGCTAGGAGAAAGAAGGCCCTGGCTAATGTTTGAAACATGTCAAAAAACCCAGTGTTCACTTGTTGCCTCCATAATTCTAGTTTGGCTTTGAATGCAGCCACTTTATCTGCTGACTTGAACACAGTTGTCATTCTCCCCTGAAGTGACAGATTGAGTTCATCGAGCAGGTTGAATATTGAGCAGGGTCACACAAGTAAGCAAGTTCTGTGACCCATTCTGCGCCACTGAAATGTGCTGCCAGTGGTGACTGTTTTTCTAAAAGAAATGTCTAGAGTGGCTCTCATACCTCATAAACTCTAGCCAGTGATATACCTTTAGAAAGCCGTCTCCCTTCTGTGTATAAGAGAAGACATGTGTGCTCTGTATCCATCTCCTCACAGAGCTGTGTGAACAGACATGAGTTAAAGGCATGTACTTTAATGTGGTTGATAATTTTAATCATATCCTGAAAAATGTTTAGTTCAGGTGACATTTTTTGGCTAACCAGCATTTCTCTATCTACACAGTGCATAGACTCACAGTCAGAAGCAACCTCCTTCACCCAGTAGTGAAACTAGAAAGCTGCCCAGTCATAGCAGCCACTCTGTCCATACATATACCAACACAAAATGAT